TATATTTACAAAATGGAAGGCTGAAAGTTTTACGTTAACATTTTATCTCGTTCGAGATGGGGGCGATTTTTTTTTTAATAATATTATAAATATATTTTATACCTACATGGATATCTACATACATCTATCTTATTACATGCTCTCTATGTCATATCTTTTTCCGACATGTTCTCTTTATTTGATTTCCGCTAAAGTTTCATACGCGAGAAATCTGCGATAAAAGAATAATACGCGAGGATTTAGGTCACGAGCAGCCAGGTCTGGGAGACCGTTGGACATCGAAAAGTAAAATAAGGAAAAGTGAAAAAAAATTAGAGGCGTTAGAAGTTGAACGAGAGGGGAAAAAAGATGGGCAGCTCGCGGTGGAAATTTTGCGAGGAGGATCAAAGGCTGTAATTCGCGCGTGTAATTTACACGGCTATCTCGTTCGGTTAAGTCCGACGGAATTTAATATTAATATAGGACGTTCGAATTTCGAGAATACCGTCCGCGATATCGAATGACCGATCCAATTCCCGCGACAGCGATGACAAGCGAGCCGCCCGCATCCCCTAGGAATCCACGTTTCTGGATTTAGGGCATGCGCGGTTATATAAGGAACGAGACGAGGAATGCACCAACGCGCGAACGAATGAACGCGCGAGCTGACAAGCCGTTGTTTTATTTTGTTGTTCGTATTTTTTTAATTAATTCCGGATCCTAGTAAAACGCCCCTCGCGGCTTTCCGTCGAGAAATTTTGTCGGATCCAATTTTAATTAATTCATCGCGGGAGTAAAACGCGCAGACAGAGAAAGGTAAAAACAAGTAAAGAAAGAGGGATAATTAAATACGTATAAAATAAAATTACAGGTGCAAGAAAGTAAAAATTATCCAGGGAAGAGAATTTCGAAAGAGAGAGAGAAAAATACATGTCCGCAAAAAACCCCTATTTAGTCGGTCAAGCCTCTGATTGAAATTTTTCGAGCTAAAACGAGGCTTACTCGAAGCTAATCGAAAAAAAAAAATTAAAGAATAACATCTAAAAGTCACTTTCTTTTTTCTTAAATATACTTTATAACTGCATACTAAATAACTGCAATTAATGATAGAACTTTGTCAAGCCACTGTATTCACAAAGAATTCGCAAAAAATACACAGCGGACGATCTCTGGCCGATGATTAATAGCTACCACCTCCGCGGGCGGGTTGGAAACTAGAAAAAAAATTTGCTGATTGTAATCGTTTATATAAACTGTTACATCGGGGCGAAAATTTATTGGACATCCATAAAAAAAAAAAAAAATAAATAAAGCAAAAAGAAACAAAAATGAGGAAAAATACGAACGCTTCGAATTCCGTAAATCGCGGGGATGGAGTTCGCGACAACGCGAACTTAGGGGCAAATCGCGCGCGTTTTCTTCGCTATCGGCGACCCTAACGTAACGTAACGTAACGGGGATGGTCGTAACCGGAGGGAGGGAGGGAGCCCGGGGTCTTCCGGGAGGACGCGCGCGAATATTTCGGGTCCGTTCGCGCAGCGTGGCGCATTCTGGCGCGGCTCCGGTGCATAAATTTCGGACGTGCCGGCTATGGTTTATACCGGCGGGATTAAATAACTTGACCCACTGGCAACATATCATCGTGCCGTGTACGGACGGCACGCGTGTCCGCCGCGTATGCATGCATGCACGGTATATATGTACACGTATATATACGTGCTCGTTCTCGAAATACGCGACGTCAATTTTTTTTTTTTTTTTCGCAAATTTTTTTCTTTTTTTATCATTGTTCGCATAGCATTCCGCGTATTTTATCGCTATCGCGATTTTCGCCGCTATTATTAGCGCTATTGCGAGCGCTGAAATTATTAACGGTGTCGATTGGTATCGAATCCGTAGGACCTTTTAACGTTTTTTTGATCCAGATTATTGAGCGAGAGGAGACAATATATGAAACTTAGTTGGAAATCGAGTATTATCGAATCGCTCTTTTTCCGCTCCGAAAATGTCATTTTCATCCTAGCGTTTTTTCGAAGCGAACACGCCTTCCGGTCGAAGAAGCTATATTGATAAGGGCACCGTTGACGTCGAAGTAATGGTAGTGAAATGTCTCTTAAGCACAATGCGAACAGCTGCCAATATCTCCGGAATGCATCGCGGCACCACCCGTCAGGCTACCCGACAAGAAACGAGACGGGAAATCCCCGGCCACTTCCGATGGAATGTCCAGCCTCGTAGCCGGGTAGTAGTTTGATTAGCCGAGATCGCCGGAGCGTGCTGCCAACGATGAACCAGCCCCCGTTCCTACCCCCCGTGAAAGCCAGGAGCTCTCCAATAAGACGAATCAAGTTTGTCAACTCTGATCTGAGGCACTTTCAAGGGACCGAGTACAAGGTACACGTGCGTCACCTCTCGGGGGAGGATGAAAGAGAATGCAATGACCCGGCAACTTTCGTCCCCCGTTTGACGAGCAGAGATTGTAATTACTGTTGATGAACCTGCTTTCCCGGCGAGGAACGAGCGCCCGCAAATCAGGGGTTGCGGAGGAAGTACCGATGACCTGGATAGGATGTAAACCAAATTCTCGAGCACGTATACATGTTAATTCCAACGCTACGTGATAAATTACTGAGCTATCTTAATAAGTGTCTAGTGAGCCGCCGACATAAGATACTTATTTTCAAAAGAGAGAGATTATTTGAATTTTTATATTAATATCCATCCTGACGTAAAAACCTAGTATTAGAGACACATCTTGATAGATGACTCGAATTATGCAAATATGAATTCAATCTTTAAGGAAAAGTCGTTTTTTTAACGAGAAAATTCAACCGAAATTTGAGGAACGAGATGGTAAAATGACTGGACTGGAATTCGAGTTAATTTATATTCCCCTAATTTTACAAAATGACATGCAATAACACTTGACGATTTCCTCTCTCTCTCTCTCTCTCTCTCTCTCTCTCTCTCCTCTTCCCCTCTCTCCCTTCCCCTTTGCTGGATCGTTAGAGACCTTCGTTTTATTTATGCAGTTCGCGAGATTATACATAATCGACGTGGTCTAGAATTTCTTCGCTGGTGCAGTCACGCCTCGCTTTGTCCGCCGACAGCTATGCAAACCTTTGCTCAATTAATTAACAGTAATTGCAATTTAGTCGACGAACGTGGAAACAGGAACAGAAACTGGGAAGTTACCCGCCAGTACGTATACATGTAGCATTCGCTCGCGCAGCCTGATATTATTCGAGTACAGAAGCATACATCCGGAAGGGCAGGGGTGGGAAGGGGAGGGAGGCGCGCCCCCTGGGGAATTAGCGACTGCTATAACAAAATTAATCCTTTATATTCGCGCAAAAACAGACGAGTGTAACACGTCGTGGCGAAATACACACACTGATAAAAATCGTCCGATTGTACCAACAAGACGTGTATGATTGAAGGCATTTTGGTTAAATCAAACAAGAATTTCTAGTTATCATAATAAGACTCGATTTTTTATAACTAGAACGTTTAATAGATTTTATTATAAGGATTTGATTAGTATTTTCTGGTTGGATTAAAATCTATAAAATTTCTTGTTACATTAATTTCTTTGCTTGCCGCTCTTAACTTAACTCGTATTCAATATTTATCCATGAAATGTATATAAAGAATTAATATTAACGTTAAATTCAAAGTATATTTTTTTTCTCTTACGAGCAGGAGTGCCAGAAAGAGAACGCTAGCTCTCTGATTGTGTGCGTTTGAGCTGCATCCTCCTCTTGCATCACTGTTTATCAGTTTAATTTCTAACAAACTGAACTTAAAATAATTTATTCAATAAAATAATTTATTCAATAAAATAATTTATTCAATAAAATAATTTATTCAATAATCTTGATTGAATTTATGCAATAATCGTGTTGGAATTCAGAATATTTAAACAGACTTTTGTGAGATTAGATGGAAAAAATTTTAGACGACTTGGTGCTGATGAGTTTAGTATTATTAACCAGAAAATTTGGTAAATTTAACAGGAAGAAATTAATCGGATTCATCTGGTAATTCTTACAAGAATTCTAGTTCGTCCAACAGACATACTGATTGAATTTACCAGAATTCTAATTAATGCAACCAGATTTTTTCTCAGTGCACGTACCCTTCTGGTTAACTCGTGGACAAATTTGACAAATTTTTTGTAACCCCCTCGATTGCCGCATTAAAAATTCATCCTTCTCTACAGCAAGAGCGCGCATCCGAAGCGCTTTTTCGCGAGAAACGTAAGATGATACTCTCCCGATAATAATCGTAGACTAAATCTATGTAATCTTCGTAAAAAGGTCGCTCTCTAAATTACTTTAAATCGTTCCTAACAAGACCGCTCATTTTGCCGCGCGAAAGCTTTCGATCGAACTCCCTGAAACGCTTTTCAAAGTCCCCGGATGCGAGATTATTATTTTGCCATCGACGATTCTTCATCGAGAGTACGTCGGGTTTTAGTATCCATGAGAGCAACATTGTGCGGCAAGGAGCGGAGATCGGAGAGGGACAATTGCTTCCCTCTCATAAGCTGTGTCCCGCGTCTCCAATCCCGTTTTTATTATAACTCGATCGTCCGCATCTTCCGTAAACCACGGGCGCTTCCCAATATGAGCGACGTCGTTTCTCTCGACAAATGTGGGAGATTCCCATGACGACGGCGACCGGAATGAAATCTTTATGGCTTATCGAACCGGAGCGATATCCGGTCGTTGCGCTCCAAAGAAAGAGTTATCTTTGTAATCGCCAGTCACGATTTCCAATTTTTTCCGCGGCTCAAAATATTTTCCTAGAAAATGCGAATAAATAAAAATGTCCCCCAAAAAATTAATAAAAAAAAATAAAAATATATAAATGGATCGTTTCTGTGAGATTAAATTGACCAGCTTCTTTGAAAAATATTTCCAAAAATGAAAGGGGAAGATATTAAACTTGTTGCACCAACGTTACTTTCCAAACGAATAGTAAAGATGTGAAATAACAAATGTACAATCGTATTTCAGGGCTTTCCTTGGGCGGAGGACTGATTGTTCTGGCATCAGCCTTATCGGATGCGTCACTGGAACTGCCGGGAAAATACAGCTTGCCGTCTACGTCCGGCATGCAAATGGACGATAACGGTCTACCTCAGTACCACTACGGCTGGTGCCTTCAGCTCTCGGGATTAGCGCTGATGCTCGCGGAAGTGGCGGCCGTTTTAACCATGTCCGGTTACATGGCGCGCTTTTCCACGGTCGAGGAGATGGTGAAGTTGTCGATTAAAATTTCCGTTGATTATCTCGGGCGATTTTAGCTATGAATCTACTTGAAAAACGCTGCAAACTACTATTGCGTTGAACAAGTGGATTCTTAGCTTTATCACCGCGTATCTCGCAATCGCGTTTCAAAATATTCATGCCTTTTGTTTTTATTTTTTCTTGTAGGTGAGAGTCATGGTCCCGGGTGCTGAGAGGAAGTTGAGGGAGCAGAGAGGCCTCAGCTCGGAATATCTCGTGCGGGCGCATCAAAAATCGCCAGGACCGCCGCAGACACGACCCTTTGGTCAGCCAGCCAAAAGTGGGTGAATTTATTCAATTAGAGAGGGTGTCCCGCATATATCGTAATAATATAATAAATCGTAACTGATCACAAAAGATTGAAAAATCACGTGATAATAAATAATATTAATAAATATCAGAGAATATCAGGAAATATCAGAGATATCCAAGACCTTGATTTTGATTTTGAAAAAAAAAAGAGGCAAAAGAAATGAAATTCAAAATTTTTGCGGGACACCCTGTACAATAGTAATAATATGCTACAATTTCTGGAACAAAAATAAGTCTGCGCTTGTGTGTCCTAGCGCCTCAAAAAATAGCGGAAGAGGGAACGTCGTTGCTCTGCAAGTCGGCGCCCGATATCTGTGCAGGTTCGAATCCGCAGGCCATCAGCTACGTCGATAAGGCAGACCTGTCCCACGTTTTGCCGGCCTATCCAGATAACAAGAGCATCGATCCGCGTTACACCTTCGACAAGACCGAGGGGAACGTCGTGGATTCTCGACTGAGCGGCTTCACGGACAAGGAAGGCTTTATCGACTCTCGGATCCTGTCCGACTCCAGGCAGAACATGATCGCCTTCACGGATAACAAGGAGTCGGGCCAGGAACAGCGATACACTACCGACTTCTCCGCGAGAACCACCGAGACTCAGGAGATCGTAGATTCAAGACTGAGCGGTTTCGCCGACAAGGAGGGTCTTCTCGATTCCAGACTGAGCGGCTACGTCGACAAGAACGAGTCCTTGCTGGACACCCCGTTCGGTTACGACACCAGATACAATAGTCTGGCTGGCCAGACCGTTCCGATCACTCTGAAGAATCAAAACACGTCCGTGTCGGCCATTCAGTCGCAGTACATATATCAAAATTTCGGGACGATACACTCGGGCATTCTCAAGGTATCGGAACCCGGTACCAGCTCCAGTTCCAATTCCAGCCAGCGCAGCATGACCCTGCAGAACCCGAAGCGCAAGTCGCAGATCGCTCAAAACACCTTCAGCACGATGGAATGCGAGAGGAAGAAGCGAGCATCCGGGTTGACCGGCAAGACGAGCTTTTACACCGGAAGTGCTGTATGACCACCACCCCCGCCTCCGACCCCGAAATAACTCCAAGAAGAGGAGACCCCACTGTAGCCGAAACTCGGCTCTGTTACTCGAGATGGGTTGGAGGACGCACAGATTGCGCGCACAAGGGAACTTGAAGAGGAAAGGGAGATTTTCTACCAGCGGAACGTAGCTCTACCAATCGCGCGCAAACAATGTGTATGAAACGAAAGAAACGTTCTTGTTTGCAGGCTTCAGCGAAGGAAGAGCGTAAACTTGAAAAGAAGCCAAAGAGATGATGTTTGGAGATACAATTGATTTCAAGGGCAAAATTTTTAAATGCAATTCGCGTGGAGTTTCAAACGTAACTTTCCGTCAATAACATTGTGTCAACAACGCACACCACGCGAGTCGAATGGGAGGAGTAAAGATACACGAAATCGAAATTGCTCTTATCATTTTATATATTCAAGGAATAAAATAATGTCTCCGTCACTCGCTGTTAAGACTTAACTTTAATCGCGTCTCAGCTGCATAACCAATCGAACAAAGCTGTGTAAGGTGCTCTCTTAAATGGAATCAGTGTATTCGTTGATTATGAAGTCGCATTGCATTATCATAAATTATTTTAGTTGTAGCGCTGCAAAAGGCGAAATCTCATTAAAAATATTAGTAGTAGATAATATGTAACTGTTTCATCGATGATACTTGAAAATGCGTGTTATATTATAAGAAAAATAATAATATATATTTAAAATTTATTATTCTATTAGAAGAAAAGGACAGGATATTTTGTTGAAGAAATATTTCAATTCGGCTAAGAATCTTCTTCATTTTTCATAATTTTATTACATCTTAAGAATGTAAACAAGTGTAAAATACATATAATTCCGAATTTGAATACTAGCCAATCTCACGATTAATAAAATATAAAATAACAAAGCGTTTTCACGAAAGATCAGTGAAATACTTACTGATCTTCGTTGAAATATCGTCACTATTTCGACCAGTGACATTTTCACTGATTCAGTTTAAGAGAGCGGGATATTAATATAGTCAATACGTTGTAATACATTCGGTGGTCGATATAATCAAGATACTCGTGAGAGGGATACTCGGGCGGATATTCGGTATATTTTTTTTTCTTTAATAATAACAAAAAAGAAGGTATATTGATCAATGCGAAATTGAGTAGGTTTCGATTTTCTCGGATTTCTTTCGGCGATTTCCAAGCACCTTGTATCTAACTAATCGAGGACATATCAGAGATAAACATGTTGGTTTCGTTGATAACGCTACTTGCTGGAGGGTCTCGTATTTTCAATTCGATCTTTGCCCGCGCTGTTTGCGTTTCCTTCTTTATATGTAAGATGATAACTCAACAGATAAAAGATGTTTTATGTGCGCCCGCATAATTACATGCATCAATATATTGTAACGTAGTTGAGTGTAATAAAATATTCCTTTTCTATAAAACAACATTCTCCCTTTCTCCTCCCTTATTGCGTTATTAATTATTCGTGCAAGATTAGAAATAAATGTCGAGGTGTTCAATACCTCGCAGTAATTATTAGCAACTCATTACGATGCATAAACCTGGCGAATATTATTTTATATCAGTAGAGGAATCTTAATTAAACTTATACCATTCGATTTTTTCAAAAATATATCGATTGTTATCGATAAAATATCGATTCTGTTGAAATGTCGGTAACGAACTGCGCAAAGAAAGGTTCATTCGGGAGTTATTTTGCGCTTTCACAGTCGGTACACGAGGGAAAGACTCGGCCGATGGTACTATAACTGGCTGAAAATGTTATCGCACCCTCTTACAGATGACGCCCCTAACGTAAATTTCCTCCCCTAAGGTCGACGAGAGATCTGTAGATCGCGCGAGTCGCATCGTGCTCGAATTAGCGGCCGTCGCATCTAATGTTTAATTAACGCCGCATAATTGGCCGGCCAATTAGCGCACGCCGTTTAATATTAATCTGCAATTTGAATTCATTTCAATGCGTTTAAAATTTATTGAATACATAATTAATGCGGCGTGTTGCGAATGCAGATGCGACGCGACGCGCGAAGCGGATCGTTCGTTTATCGCGATCTTCACGAGATCCTCGAACCCGAGGGCGAGGAAGCCCTTCGATCGAAATATCCCCGACGACGTCTCCTCCACGACTTTGCGCTCTTTCGCTTCATCGAACAATCGATGATTCGTTTTTCGAAAATATTCGCGCGCGCGCGCGCGCGCAATTTATTTGAAACGACAACAAAAATTACGAAACAATGTTGTTGCTCGCAAGAAAGGGGTACTTTGCATACGCGACGTGAAATTTTCAATGGAAACGAATTAAGCCGCAATGGAAAAGTTGATTCCCTCATTTTCCCGGGGATGCTCCTCTCCCGGCGAATTCAGTGGAATCGGGTGGAAAAGGGAAACGGAATCTCGCGCTCATCTCTGTCATTTTACCTGAGTTACCCGCCGCCGAACCCGGCATCGCCCCCACTCTGAAATATCCCGCCGACCCCTTCCTGCAATCTCGCACCCTCGAAACGAGCCTCCGCCTTCCCCTCGGCCGCTCTAGCCGTCTCGCTCTAATCCAATTAAAAACGTCGGACGATCGCGCGAAACAGCGGCGCATCGACCACGAGAATTTTAATTGATGTTACAGGTACGAGAGAGGGTAGCTACCCCCGGGAAAGGGATCGTTATTGCATGCTCGCGAGAGAGAGAGAGAGAGAGAGAGAGAGAGAAAGAGAGAGAGAGAGAGAGAACGAGAGATGTGTGCCAAGATTTTGTTCCATTATAACATTACACATTCATCATTATAATTTATTTCGTTTTATTTATGTCTCATTTTATATAACGATGACACAAAATATGACGATGAAATAAAATAAAATTTTCCAGGTCCCGATGCGTCCTTGGATATTCGTGGAAAAATACGTCGAGCGAAATGGCACATTAATAAAGAAATTTCCGTCGAAAGAAACACGTCTCTTTCTCTCTCTCTCTCTCTCTCGGTCATCTCTTAAGAGATTTAATTTTTCTTCGGAACTTTTCTCCTCCATTTTCTGCGATGTGGAAATTCGCAATCATTTTTCTGTATCCAATAAACAGAAATAGACCTCGTTCTTGTCAAAAATGTGATACAGGAAAAATATAATAATGCGTATAATTATCGGCATTTTGCTTCGCGAAACAATATTACGTGTTAAAAGTCTAGAGAAAATTCGTGACTTTTCCCGATATCGATGGACGAGATAAGCAAAGTCCTCCTCGCATTCGACAATCAGAGTAGTTTCAAGTTTTCCCGTGTGAAAGTCAGACGAGGGTGAGATATCCGCGAGGGTGAATAACCCCCGAGGATAAAGATGGACTTCGAAAGATGGACTTGGAAAAAAAATCGAGCTTCGTTCCTCAAATGGAGACGTTTTCACGCCGTTCTTTCGACCGTCTCCCCTCGCGGACCTTATTTTTTTTTCCACACCCTCGTCTCCCGACTTGACCCGTAACATCGTCGCTGTCCCGTCCGGCTTTGGGAGTTTATCACGATCGTGAAAGCTCGACTCGTAAGCTCTTCCGGGAAAAGTTTAACTCCCGTTTTTCGAAAAGAATCCCGGCGCTTCCACCGAAATCGAACAATCGTCCAAATCGCGTCGAAATTTGCATTCCGTTTCATCAGCTCCGTCCAAGGTAGGACAGGAAATTGCAGCAAGGATAAATTTTGCAATGAATAAAAGGAAAAACTGCGTATGTGGAGAGAGCGAGAGGGAAAATGGCGGCCAGACAGCCCGCAGGCGGCAGCTAGAATCCGGCGGCTCGCTGCCAAATGAAATTATCCCTCGGAAGCAGCGCTGATCTCGAGGGTTAATTTCGCGACGGAGTCATCCCGTATCTCGCCATCCCCTGTCCGTTGTATCGGGATATCGCTAGGACGCCTCCAGGCTGATCATAATTTAATACGTAATACGCTTCTCCCATTCCTTGATAAGAATTCGCATCTCGCGCTTCGACTCAAAAATGCTCGCAGATAGCAAGAGCACTAACAATCACATGGAATGTTTCTAGCGATATAATTTACCCCGAAAATGACAATTCGATAGTGATACTAATTATATTGAAAATAATGGAGCGGAAGAAGTTTATAATCAAATGTAACGATCAGCTGATTCTATCATCCAGTCTCTTTTTCATCCGTCTTTTGTTACCTTGGTTAATAACTCGTGATGAATGTATACCTCGTCTCTTCCACTTTGTTTCGTGTTCTCCGCGGAAAAGGATCCCCCGGGTATCCGTGATATCTTTATTCTTTCTTCCCGCTTCAATCCCGTCAGAAATTAAAACGATAAATCCAGGCGCAGCCGCTGGCTGAAATATACGACGTCGGCGTCGCTGGATGAAATACGTCGGGTGTCGGGAGACCGATGACAAAATTCAATGGTAGGGATTCTTATTTTTTTGACAGACGCAACTTTTCGACTTGAATTAGAGGGAATATTTTCAATATTTTCAGACAAAAAAATTCAAGAAACAATAATTGATTCAAGGAAAGAATACTAAGTAAGTAAAAAAAAATTCTAAAATTTATAATTAATCAAATAAGAGAATAAAATAAGAGAATCGAAAAATATTGCAAAATTCAAGGATACAGAAAGCAAAGAATCTAAACTATCTCGGTTTCAAAAATTAGTAGAAATAGAAAACTTGAAAATTCCTAGAAATAAAAGTTGAAAAATCTAATCGAATTTAATCAAGACACTATAAAAAAGTAAGAGTAGATGCGATTTCAAAGTTACATGATCAAAAAACGTAATATAAATCATTAGAACCTTATATATGTGGACTTTGGAGCTGAAAAAAGTTGTAAAATTTATAATTAATCAAATAAGAGAATAAAATAAGAGAATCGAAAAATATTGCAGAATTCAAGGATACAGAAAGCAAAGAATCTAAACTATCTCGGTTTCAAAAATTAGTAGAAATAGAAAATTTGAAAATTCCTAGAAGTGAAAGTTGAAAAATCTCATCGAACTTAATCAAGACACTATAAAAAAAATAAGAAAAGATAGACGCGATTTCAAAGTTACATGATCAAAAACTATGTATCATTAGAACCTTACATACGTGAACTCTGAAAAAAACGTGTGTCCTTTAATCAAATCATCATTGTGCGATTCAAATTCCCTCTACTGGAGTCTAATTAATTTCACTAGAGTGCCTCTAAAAAAAAAAAAACTTCTCATTCCGTCCTTAATCCCCCGATTTGCTTTCACCGCTTCAACTTTCCTCGGCGACGCGAGACGTCCGTCTCTCATTCACCTCCCGGCGAGATCGGAGCCATCGCGTTCCGCGATTGGCACTTTAATCTGTATTCAATGACCGACGCGCGGAGCGCAAACTTTTTACGGGGGATTTGGCGCGGCGCGGAAACGATCGCTCGTATCGGCCGTTTGCGGCCGCGGAAACGCGCGTTCCGGTTCGTGCGCGCGGAACAAGAGGTTCGAGAGGCCGGCGTTCGCCATCCGACGTTGCCATGACGACGGGGCCGTCTAAATCCGCGAGGCACCCTTCGCACCCCCGCGCGAGGGGGAGGCTGCGAGAGAGAGAGAGAGAGGTAAAGGGCCGGCGGGGAGGGAGGAACTGAGGGGTGACAATGGGGACGCTAAGTCTGGAGATTTGCAGGGAGCACGCCGGTTGGTCGGTTCATTGTTTCAACGCCGGGTTTCCGCCGGT